CGATTGAAATGCTGTGGCATGACCTTAAAAGAGCGATTCACACCAGACATCCCAAGAATATTGCTACACTGAAACAGTTTTGTGAAGAGGAGTGGTCCAAAATGACTCAGATCGTTGTGCAGGTCTGATCTGCAACTACAGGAAACGTTTGGTTGAGGTTATTGCTGCCAAAGGAGGGTCAACCAGTTATTAAGTCCAAAGGTTCACATACTTTTTCCTCCCTGCGCTGTGAATGTTTACATGTTATGTGCAATTAAACCATGGCAACATCTAATGTTTCTGTAGTATTATGTTCAGCAGACTGTGTTCTTCTATTGTTGTGACTTAGATGACGTTCAGAGCACATTTTATGCCCAATTCATGCAAAACTCCACGTAATCCCAAGGGGTTCACATACTTTTTCTTGCAACTGTATATATATATATGTATATTATTACCAAATATATGAAAAATATTTTAAAAAATACATTTTCAAATATATGTCTTTGAAAATACATATAAAAATATATATATTTTTAAAGAATATATTCTTCAGATTTTTTTTAACATATAAAAAAGTCATTTTCACATAAATTTTTACATATATTTGTAAATGCAAAAATTCCCAAATATATTGACTTATATGTGAAATACTACAATCTTGGACATATTCAATATATTTCAATATATATATATATATGTGTATATATATATTATTACAAAATATCTGAAAAATATACTTAAAAATAAATTTTCAAATATGTCTTTGAAAATACATATAAAAATATATATTTTTTAAAAATATATTCTTCAGATTTTTTTTAACATATAATAATATAATGTATATTTTCACATACATTTTTATATATATTTGTAAATGCATTCCAAAAATATTCTTCCCAAACATATTGACTTATATTTGAAATACTACAATTTTGGCCATATTCAATATATATATACAGTCGGGTCCATAAATATTGGGACATCGACACAATTCTAACATTTTTGGCTCTATACACCACCACAATGGATTTGAAATGAAACAAACAAGATGTGCTTTAACTGCAGACTGTCAGCTTTAATTTGAGGGTATTTACATCCAAATCAGGTGAACGGTGTAGGAATTACAACAGTTTGCATATGTGCCTCCCACTTCTTAGGGGACCAAAAGTAATGGGACAGAATAATAATCATAAATCAATCTTTCACTTTTTAATACTTGGTTGCAAATCCTTTGCAGTCAATTACAGCCTGAAGTGTGGAACGCATAGACATCACCAGACGCTGGGTTTCATCCCTGGTGATGCTCTGCCAGGCCTTTACTGCAACTGTCTTCAGTTCCTGCTTGTTCTTGGGGCATTTTCCCTTCAGTTTTGTCTTCAGCAAGTGAAATGCTCAATCGGATTCAGGTCAGGTGATGGACTTGGCCATTGCAGAACATTCCACTTCTTTGGTGTCTTTTGCAGTCTGCTTTGGGTCATTGTCCATCTGCACTGTGAAGCGTCCAATGAGTTGTGAAGCATTTGGCTGAATATGAGCCGATAATATTCCCGAAACACTTCACAATTCATCCGGCTGCTTCTGTCAGCAGTCACATCATCAATAAATACAAGAGAAGCAGTTCCATTGGCAGCCATACATGCCCACGCCCATGACACTACCACCACCATGATCACTGATGAGGTGGTATGCTGAGGACCATGAGCAGTTCCTTCTCCATACTCTTCTCCTCCCATCACTCTGGTACAAGTTGATGTCGGTCTCATCTGTCCATAGGATGTTGTTCCAGAACTGTGAAGGCTTTTTTACATGTCGTTTGGCAAACTCTAATCTGGCCTTCCTGTTTTTGAGGCTCACCAATGGTTTCCATCTTGTGGTGAACCCTCTGTATTCACTCTGGTGAAGTCTTCTCTTGATTGGTGACTTTGACACACATACACCTACCTCCTGGAGAGTGTTCTTGATCTGGCCAACTGTTGTGAAGGGTGTTTTCTTCACCAGGGAAAGAATTCTTTCGGTCATCCACCACAGTTTGTTTTCCGTGGTCTTCCGGGTCTTTTGGTGTTGCTGAGCTCACCGGTGCGTTCCATCTTTTTAAGAATGTTCCAAACAGTTGTTTTGGCCACGCCTAATGTTTTTGCTATTTCTCTGATGGGTTTGTTTTGTTTTTTCAGCCTAATGATGGCTTCACTGATAGTGACAGCTCTTTGGATCTCATCTTGAGATTTGACAGCAACAGATTCCAAATGCAAATAGCACACTTGAAATTAACTCTGGACCTTTTATCTGCTCATTGTAATTGGGATAATGAGGGAATAACACACACCTGGCCATGGAACAGCTGAGAAGCCAATTGTCCCATTACTTTTGGTCCCTTAAGAAGTGGGAGGCACATATGCAAACTGTTGTAATTCCTACACCGTTCACCTGATTTGGATGTAAATACCCTCAAATTAAAGCTGACAGTCTGCAGTTAAAGCACATCTTGTTTGTTTCATTTCAAATCCATTGTGGTGGTGTATAGAGCCAAAAATGTTAGAATTGTGTCGATGTCCCAATATTTATGGACCTGACTGTATATATATAATATATATATATATATTTTTTTTTTTTTTTTTTTTTTTTTTTTTTTTACCAAATATATGAAAAATATTTTAAAAAATACATTTTCAAATATATGTCTTTGAAAATACATATAAAAAATATGTATTTTTAAAAAATATATTCTTCAGATTTTTTTAACATTTAAAAAAGTTATTTTCACATACATTTTTACATATATTTGTAAATGCATTCCAAAAATATTATTCCCAAATATATTGACTTATATTTGAAATACTACAATTTTGGCAGAATTTAATATATTGGCCGTATTCAATATATTTATATATATATATATATATATATATATATATATATATATATGAAAGAGGTACAAGGGGCATCTCATGGGGCCCCCTACTGACCCTGGGCCCTCGGGTATATATATATGTATATATATATATATATATTTTTTTACAAAATATATGAAAAATATTTTAAAAATACATTTTCAAATATACTGCATGTCTTTAAAAATACATCTAATCTACAATTTTGGAAGGCATTTACAAATATCTGGGAATGGATGGATATTGTGGGAAGAGCTCACATATTTTGAAATACTACAATTTTAGCCATATTCAATATATTTCAAAAAATAAATATATATATATACTGTATGTTGAAATGCATATTTATTACAAAATATATGAAAAATATTTGTAAAAATACATTTTCAAATATTAAATCTCAAGACAAGTGAGCGCTTTAAAACAACTTATAAAATCAATAAGTGAACAAAATTAAAATAAACTAGAAAATAGCAGCTGAACACCAAAAAGGTACCATAAAACCTTCACAATAATCAGAATGCATAAAGGGGGGGAGGTGCAGCGCTAACTTAATAAATATACACTTAAATAGTTATACAAACCAATGTTAAGGTGCTATTAAAGTGCAAAACGGTGACTAAAATGAGTATAGTCCATAACGTGTTCAAAAGGTGTTCAAAACCCAAGAGTCTTCAAAAAGCTCCAATGCCTGGATTCGTGGATGAGGTGATAAAGGTATAAAGATTGCGCACTCACCAGATACGCAATCCAAATGCGCATTCAAAGCAGATAATCCTAGGGTCCTCATATGGATCTGGTCAGATCTGGTCACAAAAGCCCCTCGTCACTCGATGGTGTTTGCCACGCATAGAAGAAAAAAGGTGGGGCCACTCTGCAGATGTAAAGGGCTCCCAACGGAGCTGTTGGCAGTAATTCAATAACAAGTCTGGGGTATGCGATATCCGAGCATCCGGAAGGGTTGCCGCAGATTGACCTGCAGATTTCGGGATCTGCACAAGCTACATCATCTGTGAAGAGGACTCTGCTGATCATCCCAGGAAGAACCATCAAAAAGAATGGCAACACCTTCAAGGTGTTGCCATTCTTTTTGATGGTTCTTCCTGGGATGATCAGCAGAGTCCTCTTCACAGATGATGTAGCTTGTGCAGATCCCGAAATCTGCAGGTCAATCTGCGGCAACCCTTCCGGATGCTCGGATATCGCATACCCCAGACTTGTTATTGAATTACTGCCAACAGCTCCGTTGGGAGCCCTTTACATCTGCAGAGTGGCCCCCCCTTTTTTCTTCTATGCGTGGCAAACACCATCGAGTGACGAGGGGCTTTTGTGACCAGATCTGACCAGATCCATATGAGGACCCTAGGATTATCTGCTTTGAATGCGCATTTGGATTGCGTATCTGGTGAGTGCGCAATCTTTATACCTTTATCACCTCATCCACGAATCCAGGCATTGGAGCTTTTTGAAGACTCTTGGGTTTTGAACACCTTTTGAACACGTTATGGACTATACTCATTTTAGTCACCGTTTTGCACTTTAATAGCACCTTAACATTGGTTTGTGTAACTATTTAAGTGTATATTTATTAAGTTAGCGCTGCACCTCCCCCCCTTTATACATTTTCAAATATACTGTATGTCTTTAAAAATACAAATCTACATTTTTGGAATGCATTTACAAATATATGTAAAAATATATGTTAAAATGACTTTTTTAATATGTAAAAAAAAAAATCTGAAGAATAAATTTAAAAAGAAAATATATTTATATATATGCCTTTAAAAAATATATTTAAATTAAATTTTTTTTAGAATACATGTTCAAATATATTAGGCCAATATATGGTAAATATATGTCACATATATAATTTTTTTTTTCTACATTTTTTGGAAATATCTTTCCCTTCCAAGTGGGCAGTACTTTTCTGTAAATCCTGTGAACCCTCATTAAAAATTGTAGAGATGAAGAGATACTGTAGATAGATGATAGAATTTTAAAAAACATTCCAGCAGAGCTCCTATCACACGAATCCAGTTCTATGACCTGTTTTAATGATTTCCAGGATGAGATGACCGTCACGTACGCTGCTGTGAAAAACTCCAATGTCTAAGACAGGAAACCGGACCCGGAATGGATGACACCAGACTCGGCACATTTCACCAGATGATGAGGATGGTGGCTCTCGTCAGGGCCGTCTTTATTATTGATTGGACCAGGGGCGGACTGACCATTTGGAAACTCGAGCACTGCCCGAGGGCCCGGGGTCAGTAGGGGGCCCCATGAGATGCCCCTGGTACCTTTTTCATAGGCCACTGAAATTAATGGGATGTCCTACACGGGGTCTCCCTCATACTCCCCACTCCAACCTCCCCCCCACCCGAACTCTACTTTCCTCCACTACTCATCTTTGCACCCACCTTCCCTACCTCTGTAGAGCTGGGCAACCTAAGTGACAGCACTTCCCACTGAGATATCGGACACGATAGATGAAGACTTCAAGGGACAAGGAAATGTCAACCATTACAGTTGGCAAGTATGGAGGAGCTGCTTTGGGCCCCACAACAATAACTGGACCCAGGGCAGCTGCCCCTTTTGCCCCTCCTTAAAGACGGCCCTGGCTCTTGTGAAGTCAGCAGTTCCTGAAGACCAACAAGAATCCAGAAGAAAAGAAAATGCCTCCACCAAAGACTGTATGAGACAATAACTGTGTCAAACGGCAACCTCCCCGCCCTTTAAATTCAGAGCTTTTTAAACGCTTTGGCTGCACATATATACGCTGATTTATAATATATGCTCAGAATCAGGGAAATCGGGCACTGCCCGAGGGCCCGGGGTCAGTAGGGGGCCCCATGAGATGCCCCTGGTACCTTTCATAGGTTTTTTGGATGTGGTTTAAGTGTGGGTGAGGACACAGGGACCCCATGATCCCCTATTGCCCGGGGGCCCCAAGAGTTGTCTGTCCGCCCCTGCTCAGAATTATCTACCGATATTGGTATCTGTAATGCCTATGAAATGTGTTGGCCTTGGACCCTTTCGTTTCTTGGGTAATTTTTACAATAAAGCTTTGTTGCCCAAATGCCAGAGGCATGAGAGGTGCCTGATGTGTCCTTTCTCTAGGTCAAAGGAACACGATATTCTGCTGAGAGCAAGATACAAACTTGTTTATGGAATGAACCGTGTTTACGACATCTAGTAACCTCACATTAGGAGATAAAAAAAACGTTCATTTTTTAAATTTTTTTTAATTTTTTCATTTTTTTACATTTTTCATTTTTTTTTTCATTTTCTTTCATTTTTCATTTTTTTTCATTTTTTTTTTTTTTTTACAAATTTTTTTTATCATTTAAAAAATTTTAAACTTGTTTATGGAATGAACCGTGTTTACGACATCTAGTAACCTCACATTAGGAGATAAAAAAAGTTCTTTTTTTTCATTTTTTTTTTTTTTTTTTTCCATTTTTTTTTTTTTTTTCCATTTTTCATTTTTTTTGTCATTTTCTTTCATTTTTCATTTTTTTAATTTTTTTTAATTTTTTAAATTTTTTTCATTTTTTTAAATTTTTAATTTTTTTTCATTTTATTATTTTTTTTTTTTTTTTACAAATTTTTTTATCATTTTAAAAAAAATGTTCGGACCTTTATTTTATAACCACAGAATTTATTGTGATTTGTGTATAATTATTTTTGATTGCTTTCATGTTTTGCGCTGTTTTATTGTTTCACTGATTTTTTTATCAAGCTTGTTGATTCTTATCGAGGCACGGCAGCATTCACTTTCACATTTTTCACGTAGTTTCTTGTGGCGCGGGTTGTTTTTTGTTTTCGGAAATAAAAACCTGTTTAAGGACATCTAATTTAGAAATCCTTAAGTCTGGGGGAGATGAGAAGAGGTTTTGGGGTAGGTAGAGGGGCGGACTGACCATTCGAGCACTCGGGCACTGCCTGAGGGTCCGGGGTCAGTAGGGGACCCCATGAAATGCCCCTGGTACCTTTTTTATAGGCTTTTTTGGGTGTGCTTTTAGTGTGGGCAAGGACACAGGGGCCCCATGATCCCCTATTGCCCGGGGGCCCCATGAGTTGTCAGTCCGCTCCTGGGTAGGTAATATGGTGGTTGAACGTGACTCTGTTATCCACGCAGAACCCTTCTGCTAGCTCCTCCTGTGGTGGGTGTGGTGGCGCCAGCCCACTATTGGACAGCTTCCAGAAAATTGGTTTATAAGGCGGAGGTCCGGGCGAGGCCAGTAGAAGCCCCTCCCCCTTAGTGGCCAGAGGATGCTCTCTCTGATGCTGGGATTTTTGCCAAGGCTATATGGGCTCATCGACTGGTCACGCCTACGGCTTCCCTGTGACCCCCTGGGCAGTTTGGTTCCGATGGGGTTTGTTCCTTCCCATCTTCCCGTAGCTTTGGTAATGTATTCATTCAATGCTGTCAAATGACGTGTCTGTTCATGCTGTGATGCTCACATTATTATTGGTGCGTGTTATTATGCAGATTGTGATGACTATAAGATATGTCCTCCTGTGTGTCATGTGATAATAAAAGTGGAGGCTTTGACAGTGCAAGAATATTGCAGTTGGATTCTGTTATTTCTTGGAGTGCCGAGTGAATGCTATGACGTGTCGGGGCCGGTGTTCGTGGGCCAGTTTTTTCACAATTGTTTTTTACACACTGTCAAAAAAAAAATACTGATCACCTCGCTAGAGTAGTACAGTGTTACTATGGTGACGCTCAGTTACACGGGATGTAAAAAAAAGTATAAAACATATTTTAAAATGTTTTAAAAATGTAACACAGTTTATTAATTTTATTTTTTTTTACTTACTGTCACCAGTCAGTATCCTTGATCATCGACCACACCAGTCACACGATAACGCTGTACTGCACTGGTCACAATTTTATTTAAAATGAAGAAATTAAAAAAATTGGGGGGTTTTTTTTCACAATTTTTTTTTACGTACTGTCACAGTACGTAAAAAAAAAAAATTGTGAAAAAACCCCCACATTTTTACATTTCTTAATTAAAAAAAAATTGTGAAAAAAAATATGCAGCTTTACAAAACTTGCCATGTTTTCTTACTAAATGCCTCAATATTTACAAATATATGTAAAAATGTATGTTAAAATGACTTTTTTATATATTTAAAAAAAAATCTGAAGAATATATTTAAAAAATATATACATTATTTTAAAAAATATTTTTCATATATTTTGTAATATATAAAAAACGCATTTCAACACGCATTTTTAACCTATAAAAAAGCAATTTTAACATATATATTTACATATATTTATAAATTCATTCCAAAAAATGTAGACAAACAGTATTTTTGAAATGTATTTTGAAAAAATATTTTTTATATATTTTGTAATAAAAATACATTTCAGCATACACTATATAAAAAAAAAATATATATATATATATATATATATATATATATATATATATATATATTTTTTTTTTTTTTTTTTTTTTTTTTAAATATATTGAATATGGCCAAGATTGTAGTATTTCAAATATATGTCAATATATCTGGGAAGGATATTTTTAAAATGTATTTCATTAAAAAAAAATCTGAAGAATATATTTAAAAAACATATATTTTTAAAAACACATTTCAACATGCAGTGTGTGTGTGTGTATATATATATATATATATATAAAATATTATATATACATATATATATATATATATATATATATAAAAATTATATTATATATATATATATATATATATAAATATATATATAAAATATTATATATATATTTATTTAAATATATTTTGAAATATTATATATATATTTATTTAAATATATTTTGAAATATATTGAATATGGATAAAATTGTAGTATTTCAAATATATGTCAATATATTTGAGAAAAATATTTTTCTTTCATGTGGGCTTGGACAGGAGGGGCGACATATAGAGGAACCACTCCTCTCCATTTTCCTCCTGCAACCTCTGAAAGCCAGCTTTTCCTCCTCTCTCTGGCATTCAGCAGTTGCAGGAGGAAAATATTCAATATGTTATTCAAAATAAAGAAAAAAAAATTAATTCTGAACCATTTCATTGTGGCCTGTGACTGTTTACCAAATCACTTAAGTGGTCCTCTTTCTTCAAAAAGGTTTAGCACCCCCGCATTAGAGGAAATTATTAATATTTAAAATATATCAATATAATAAATATATTTTAATGTATTAAATATATTTTTGGAAAGCTGATATAATTTTTTGTCCAGTACAATAAAAGGCCATTAGGTGCGTATTGATATACTGTGTATTGGTGGATTGATTGGCATATGATTTCATGGGTGCTTTAGGTCATCTTTTTTTTTTTTTTTTACTGAACACGACGAGTGATCAGTAGTAATCACTCACTGTGTTCATTCACAACTGAAGCATGGTAAACTGGGTTTTTTTTTGGGGGGGGGCTGTCAGATTGGCTGTATAGGGTAGCAACAGAAGGATTCACTAATCATGGATTAATCTTGGAACTTGGCACAATAGGCGACAAAATTTCCAAAAAGTCTAATAAAGCGGCAGAAAATACGTTCTCCAGCGCCGTACAAACGTAAAGCAAATTTAGTAATGACTCCTAACTAGCAAAAAAAAAAAAAATCTATAATCTAGTCTGGGCAAGCATCAGGCATCATTAAAGTGTAAATAAATCATATTTAATTACATTGAGCTGCATGCAGTCTTTTCACAATGCTTTTGTTATTATTTTGTAGCATTTTTAAGACAGTCATTCAAGTAACAGTCGCATCTTCAGAGCCTCCCCTCCACCATGCGTCTCTCCAGACTATGCTCCTGCGCGGAGAGTCCTGTGTTTAGTAGCTCATTATGTCTCACTGCTGGGAACTGGAAAATCTGCTAAAGAAATAGTAGTACAGAGAATTGCTTTTTAGGAAATTGTGTTTTTGGAATTAATAAATAGCACGTTTTAATGTTTCATTATAAACCAGGTAAAAAAAAAAAAAAAAACGTAAAAAGGTTCTAACCAACCTTTCGAAGCTGTCAATATTGTCCAAACTCAAAAGACTATCTTCATCCTGCTTTCCCGATACTGAAAATAGACCGGAACAGTTATTGCACACTGACAGTATTGTTGTAGCTGGATAAGGAACAGAGGACACAAAAACATTGGGGTGCAGTTATAAAAATTGACATAGCAATGTTCCCCGAAACATGAATAGGGAGAAAAAACAAAACAAAATAAAAAAGCAAACTAATGTTTTCACCCCTGACGAAGTCTAATTACAAAACGCATTGGTGGCAGCCATGTTGTGTGACATCATCACGCACTGGAACCGATGACACAAAACATTCTCAAAAATTGACATAGCAATGTTCCCCGAAACGTGATCAGAGCAAAAAAAAAAAACAAAAACAAACTAGTGTTAGTAGGCTAGTTCCTGTGCTGGTCGAATGTTTTCGCCCCTGACAAAGTGCGTTGGATGCAGCCATGCTGTGTGACATCATCAGTCACTGGAACAGATGACACAAAACATTGGGGTGCATCTATAAAAAATTGACATAGCATTGTTCCCCGAAACATGAATAGGGAGAAAAAACAAAACAAAAAAAACAAACTAATGTTTTCCCCCCTGACGAAGTCTAATTACAAACCGCATTGGTGGCAGCCATGCTGTGTGACATCATTGCGCACTAGAACAGATGACACAAAACATTCTCAAAAATTGAGATAGCAACGTTCCCCGAAATGTGAATAGGGCAAAAAAAAAAAACAAAAACAAAAAACTAATGTTACTAGGCTAGTTCCTGTGCTGGTTGAATGTTTGTGCACCTGACGAAGTGCATTGGATGCAGCCATGCCGTGTGACATCATCGCGCACTGGAACAGATGACACAAAACATTGGGGTGCATTTATAAAAAATTGACATAGCAATTTTCCCTGAAACATGAATAGGGGGAAAGGGGGAAAAAA